CCTGCAGAGACGTTCAAGTCCTCTTCTGAGATGTTGGTATGAGCACGTGGAGTAGGGTGAGCCCTAGTATAATAGGATAGCGTCCGGGACGAAGTCTTACTCGTTATCGTCCCATTGGCAATTCTCCCAGGTACATTCGAACTGGTCGGAGCACTTGGTCAATGAAGGCATGAAGGCGTTCTGCATCTTCCTTAGTTTCTGGTTTAGACTCTGGCACATCCTGCCTTAAATCATCGTTCGTATGTTGTATCAACAAATCTTCTTGAGACTATCAGCACTTGTCGCTGAGCAGCAGGCAGAATCAGGAATGGAGAAATTCTCTTCTCTATCGGTATCGCCATCTTTCGTCAGGAAAAAATATGCTGTTCCACTCCATGGACATGGTAGGTGAAATCAAAATTGATACTTAGCGTCGAGAGAGTGTCTTGACATGATCATGTCAGGCGCGCCCCAAGTGCTTGGACGTGTAAAATCCATTCGATAATTATTATTGCTGAACTCAGGAAATCATAAGGTGCCCATTACTCAACTTCGTGCGCGGTTCAAATTCCTTATAGTAAGCAGTCTCGTAAGTGTTGTACGCCCCCATGATACTTCATAAGTAAACTCTTAGAATGAGTTGAGTAATTAAGGTTCCGGAATGCTCCTGTAATCCAGTAAGCAACGGATGTTAACGGGTTTTTTTTCCCTTTCTCTCGTCTGTTAAATCTAACATAGACGATAGTTTGAGGTCTCTTGTCTTGCAACGTGAGAGTTGTTGGCCATGACGAATTAACGATGCTGAATAGATCTCAGATGCTAGTTGAGTAGTTGCTAGCAATTTTCTAATTTGCCTTAGACTTCTTATTGCAAACAAATCTTGTTACTATTTAGTGAGATATTCATCACTTGGTATGAAAAATGGAACATGGTTCCTTGAAATCATCATCGCCTGATCCTCAGACCGAGATCTCTCCATCCGAATGATTGATAGTCGAATTCGGCAAGCGCCTTCAACGGCAGCCATTTTCTTGTCCATCATTTGTTGGATCCAACAGAGATGTCCTCGTTGTCGGAGTCGTCTGACTTGCGCTTGGCAACATTTTGCATTCGCTTTTCTTCTGCGATCAGCCTTGACTGCAGCGTTGAAACTTTCTTCATAGGACGAGAGTTCTTCTTTTGGTGTAGGCTTGGGTCTTCGGACTTGCGCTTTCCAATTTTTGTTCTTGTTGTACGCTGGCTTGCTATCGTTGTCAGCAGGACTGAGACTTGGCCTTGAGCTTCTCTAGAGTCAGCAGTCAGCAGTGTTGTGAGTGCTGAACTCGTGGTAGTCGCACCACTTTTCTTCGTTCTTGAAGAGTGGTCGTTGTTGCGAGTAGACTTGTACTTCTTGCTGTTGTTCTTCTTCGAAGGAGCTTGCTTGGCATCACCGCCCTTGTCAAAGTCGGGAGATTCCATACGTTCGCAGAACCAATGGTTGCTCCGATAGGAGCTGAGAAGGATGAAGTCGTGTTCGTACATTTTCTTCATCCACGAGCGTGGAATTCCAGACAAACAAGTCAATGACTTCGTCATGTTCAATGTTTGGTTGGGTAAAAAAGGTGGTAGACGAGGAAGTTCATCGGCATTCACGACTGAGGTTGTTGACATAAGCCCGAGATCATATCAGCAGGCTTACGCATCTTCGGCGCATGAAGCGTTTCTTCTTTCAAGAGCCTTGTAGGGACAGACCGCTTCGACACAGGCATTTATGCCAAACGAATGTCAGTGTCGTCCAAAGAGGCTGAGCTGCTCCGTTCAGGCAGCCTGAAACGTGCTTGGAAAGTGGCTTCGTCTCACCGCCACGTACGTCGCGTGAGCAATCGCGTTGACTGAATCTGGCGCAAGGATTCCAACGTATTCACGTTGCCTGCACAGCTAGATTTCGTAACTGCTCTTGGCAGCTAGAAGTCATTCCTTGAGGAGGTTATGTTTGTCTTAGGCGTAGCAATGGCGGCCCGACGAAGACCTTCTCATACGTGGCCCATTGATGGTTTGCTGTGGAGTTTGACCATTGATGATTGGACCTTGAAGGTTGTATTGGCGCTGTTAGCATCTGTTGGAACAGTGCGGAAGTTTGTGGTGGTAGAGGCGAGAATCTTCGATTTCGCATTCATCGTCGAGGTCGATGAGAGGAAGGATTGGTTGTCCGCAGCTTAGACTCGAAGCTGGTGTACGCGTCTTTGGCAATTTTCATGGTGAGGAATAGGTTGTAGGGTAGCTGAAAGCTATTGTGTTTGTTAACAAAATGCACTACGCTAAAAGCTAGTGTAAAGATTTTCGATTGTTTTGAGTTTGAGAGATGAAAGTTATGAGAGGATTAGAAAGCTATGAAAACTAATCAACGAGAGAGATCCAATCAAAGGATCGTAGATCTGAACTCCCGCGGGAGACTGTAAAGTGTGATAGAGTAGGTTGCGGTAGCAATCCTACTCACTCCACGATCCAAAAACGGAACGCGTGGAAGATTCGTCTAGCATTTATCTAGTAGCGTGGAATCTCTCCACGCCAGCTAAATATCTAGCGCGATGTTTCACCATCGACCTAGTATGACTAGCGGTCATGAGAACCCTGTCTCAAATGACTATTCACGAAAGACTCAGTCATGAGTCGAACTCAAACCCTATCTAGGATCGAGTCGCGAATAAGGCTAAGAGCCGTGTATTGCAAGTGGACAGAGGAGTCTACTACGACGTTGCCATCAGTGTCATACGGAGGAACGACGTGGTTCGATACATGTACTGGTTGCGGCCAATTCTCCGTGCTGTGCCCAACCGTTTTTAAGTTTTTCTTTCTTTTTCACATGGCTGTTGATGCTTCTTGCCTTTGTGGCATGTGCAGTGGTTGGGATCGCGTAGTGGAGGTACGTACGTGTCAGTGGAGGTACGTGTTCTCTTTCTGTGCAGTATTCGCTCCCCCAGGAACGGTGAAGAATTCCTGGGACTATGCTGGAACGTACTGTACGAGTGATACTAACGGTACGATGTTCTGCACACTTTGCTTTGCCCACCAAACATGTCAACTGATACTCCCGGTCGGCCGGAGGCTGGCTAGCTATGGTACCGTACTAATGCCTCATGCAGCAGTCAGACCATGCTCCCAATTCTCCAGTGATCATCTAGTACGGCTACCTCAGGTAGCTAGCCAGCCTTTTGATTAATGAGTTGTGCACTTTCCAACCTTGGCAGCAACTCTTTGAGCTTGGAAACAGCAAGCTGGCTACCGGTATCCATCACCTTAGAGCTAGTCCAGCCTTCTTTCGAACCACATGAAATCGAAGTCCAAGAATCGAAGAATCCAAGTTTGTTCCGATCAAAAATCTGAGATCGTGACTGGGACGAACCCAAAATCGAACCCCCAGGCCACTAGTTGAATTCAAGTGGCCTGGTCGGGAAATCCATTTTTGGGTCCAAGTTTGTCTATCCTGAACTCTATCGACAGTTTGAACAGGAACAAATTTGACGTCGGCGATTTTGGCATTGTTTTCGCATTTCTCAATCAGTCAACATCAACCATGTGCAACAAGTAGGTATCATTAGAATAACACAATAGATGATTATAGCATAGAGTTAGCCTGTCTATTGTGTATTGTGAGTTTCAGTTGGATTGGATTGATCGCTCGCTAGCCATTGGTTGTCACTCCTCTAATTGACTGGCAACCACTCTTTTTCCTGTTGAATTGCCACCATGAGCTCTCCTGTTGATGCCTCTTCTGCGAGTGATGAAGAGCATGCTAGACACTCCTCTGTTGGTCAACCATGGCAGGCTGATACTGCTGATGCCGCTGCCGCTGCCGCTCCAGCTGGTAGTAGTGTGCCGCCACCACTAGCACCACCGGAAGGCTCAGATTCCTCATCAAACAAGAATCCAAATTCGGCTGTTGCAACTATCCAGACAGCCCGCGAAGTGTATCTCGAATCAGGCAATGACAAGGCAATCCTTTTCTGTCTCTGCATTGGATTGAAGTCAGAGGATGGAGAACGCAAACTTGGTGACTTGACAGAGGATCCATACTCCAGGATAAAGAAGAAGAATCAAAACAAACTCAAGGTCCAAAACGCCGTGCTTGCAAAAGAGGTGGTTCGCCGTGGGCTTCAGATGTGCCTCACTGGTAGAGACAGAGTCCGCCCAAGCAACTGGAAACAGGATAGACTGATGAAATGGTTGAGCGACAATCCCATCAAGGAGCCATCTTGCATTTCCTTCCTTCGTCAAACCGAAATGTCTTATTGTACTGCGACGCAAAACAATTTTGCAGAGGCCGCAGCTCAGAAAGATGCGGACTCATCATCAGACGAGTGTTCACCACCATGCAACAGTTGCTCTGGCGATTTATCATTGAGCATGGTGGCAACAAGTGGTATCCCTCCTCTTGATTCAATCTCAAACGTATCCTGTGCCAATGATTCCGGCAGTCCCTCATCTCTTCCAAGCCTTCGATTGATGCAAAAGTTGTGGAGTCGACAAAGGCAAATGGCCAATGCAGTAACCTTCTTCAATCCCATTGTTGCCGACAGTGGTCTACGCAAGATGCCCCATCGATTGACAAGGATTCCGAAGGTGCACTCGATCTTGATCCTTAGCTGTGAGTGGTAAAAGTTGTATGCATCTTTGGGACCTGACCCCACATTCCTGTAAGGAGTTGCCATGTAAGGTGTGTTGACGTATGCATTTTCCCCGAACATACACAGATCCTTATGAAGAAGACCATTTTCAAGCTGGTTGTGGAACGTACTGGTTGAAAAGGAAAGATAGTCAGAAGTTGCTGCAGGATGGTCAATAGCCACGGACGTAAATCTTTTCTCATGGTCGCAAAACTCCTGTAAGTTCAATCCAAACTTGTGTTTGCGTCCACAATGGAACCTCTTGGGAGCAACATTTGCTATGTCACAGTCTGACTGGTGTGGCTTCTCCGTCCACAGAAGCATACCATCTCCAGCGCCAACGCAACAGTCAATGTCTATTTCACTTGCTTTCTTAAATCATTGGGCAATTTCGAACTGTTTGCTGTGTTCTTTGGGGAAGACGATGGCCAACTGAGGGTGCCATTTGGTCTTATTGACGGCATCTACAACCATCCAGACGCTTACGTATACTGAAGAATGCGATATTCCATGCATGACCGATATGTCATATGCCAATCCACCTGCGAAGTATCTCAAGGCTACACTAAGACGAATGGCACTTGAGATGATACCATTTACAGCTCCATTGCGTTGCTTCTTCTTCTTGGAATATACCTTGCCACCAATGTGTCTTTTCAGTAAGTCATGCAGCGCCCAGAAGTCTTCCTCTGGCATTCGAAAGGCACGTCTAACATAAATGTCACCCATCTCTCTGAAGATTGTATGCACCATTCGGCGTTTCCTTTTAATTGGAGGAGTGTTGTGCCCAGGCACCCCCCCCACCACCGAAGAGGAAGGCATCTGTTTCAAGAAGTACAGCTGTAAAACCAAGGAGTCTCTTGAGACGTTTACGTGAACGACCATTGTTGCCGGTGTCAGTGGCAACAGCAGCGAACAACTTCAACAGCAACAACAGGAGAAGAAGCGAGTAGAGGTACATGTCGTTGAATTGTGTTATTGCCAACAACTACAAGTGTGAGATGAGGAGAGGTACGTGGCTCATTTTTCTATTGATGCCGATGCCAATGCTAAGCCAATGCCAACTGCTAACTTGGATTTCTAAACTTGGATTTTGCTCTTTCAACGTTCGTGTAGTGTGGAATAGGTAGCCAAGTTGAAGTTAGATTTCCAAGTTTATATGCGTACTTCGATCTTTGATTTTGGATAGTTGGAAAAGAAGGCTGGACTGGCTCTTAGCACGAGCTTTTTGCGACCTGGCTTGTTCCGGATCATGTTGACCACCGGTACCAGTACCGAGATCTTGATCCACTTTAGGATCTTCCGCTTCTTTCGACGGGAACCAGCAGCGTTCGCTTTGAGCTGAGTGTTCGCGTGTCAACAAACCGCTCCGTCAAATTTTGATGTCAGGTGCAAGCTTGTCCCAAGCACACAACAAGAACAAACCATCACCGAACACTAGTAATACTACTACAATTCACCTCGAATGAAGGACCTGAGCAACAGCATCGCCGCAAACAAACCATCCATCACCCCTCTCTGCCACAAAGACAGCTCTTTTGCAGGACTTGCAACTCTTGACGAACTGCGCAGCAAAGCCAGAGACATGTTTCATCTACCTCCCATGGATAAAAAGCAGAGCGTCCTCGACGAGCTCTTCCAGTTCTCCTCGTCTGTGGACTATTGTGACAATGAGCACCAGGTAGAAGTTCTTCGTCACCACTACATCAATGAATTTGGAAGCAGTGATACAGATTCCTCCACCACAGAGGAGGAAGTTCTGAAGGATTACCTTGACGACTCGGTGATTCACAAGGTGGTAGATGATTTGCCGTCTACCTATCGAGGAAAAAGTGGAGCTGTCCATGCGTGGCATGATCTCGCCGCCGTCATGAAGGGCCCATGCACCTTCGACCTAACCCATGTTTCCGTATGCCGCAACCACGCTCAAGTAAATTGGAAAGCCGAATGCTCGAAACCTAATCGCAGAACAATCTTTGGAACGGACTCATTCACTTTTGACGATTCGAATCACATCAAAATGCAGACCACGGTTGCCTTGTCCAACCAGGAAACCTAGAGAATGAAATCGCCCTGATCTCTTTTCAGCTACCGGTACAATCCCAAGCCAAATCAGTAATGAATACTGGCAGCATACTGATTCTATCCTATGGCGCCGTTAGTAGACTAGCCATACCTACTAAATCGCTATTGTACTACTAGCTACTAGTAGAGCGTAACCGATCCAAGCACTAGAGGAAAGCTAGTAGTCTAGCTACCGGTATTACATGTAGTCTAGTTCTTGCTGTCCGAGTGGTTAACCAGGGGCATGGTGGTAAACGGAATTGCTCGCAGTTGGTGGTGAAGGTACTAGTAGCTAGTAGCTTGCCGATGATCCAATCATCAAAGAGAAGAAGGTCCTCAGCCAATCAGCCAATACTACAGTAGTACATGTACGCTGTAGGCTACTAGTACATGTATTGCCAATAATGATGAGTCATGATGTAGCTATTGGCAGCAGCTACATGTATTGGCTGGGCATTATGTCAAAGCTATTTTAGAGCTGCGGGACAGCTGCCACCTCTTCTTACGAACCCAAGCATTTGGGATTCGAATCATTCGCTTTAACAAGAAGTTTCTTTTTCCAAATGTTTAATGTCTTGAAGTTGGGTTTGTCCAGCCATCGACACATGCAGTTCTGGGTTTTAAGATGTCGGTGTTGCCGGTGTTGTTCTCTGTAATAGTCGTTAAGTCAGCTTCTCACTGTTATTGGAGAAGCACTCCTCGACGCTGCTCCAGGTTCCCACGTGGTGTCAGGAAGCTGGTAACCAGATCTTCTGAGTTCTGAGCTCCTTTTGATACCCTTCTGGATTGGAGACTGCGGCTTATCTATCTGGCTGCCAGTAGCTACCGTACCAAGCCACGATAGCTAGCTAGAGCTCCGATGGTACCGTACGGTACCATCGGAGCTCTAGCTAGCTAGTAGGTAGCTACTGCTGGGTTAGTCAGGCTGTGAGCCTTCGGACTTCGGAATCGAATCATCTGAAGTATGAGTTGGGTTTTCAGAGCTTATAGTACTTGATCAGTACCATGGCGTGCAGGTCTTGGCTCTCCGCTCAATCGACGACTACAGCAGGGGTACCGGAACCAGTTGCCCAAGCATACCACGAACACCATCGAGTGGACAGCTTACAGTTTTGAGACCCGTCGTCGGCGCATGTTCCAAGGGGCAGTTTATCACCAGGCAACTCTACTAGCTAGCAACGTAGGGGTCACATCCGCAGCCAATAGCAAGGACTCCAAAGAGGACAAACTGCAAAGTTCTTTATGTAGCATTTAGAGTCAAAACTAAGCGTAAAAATTTATGTACAAGAGAAAAAGAAAAAGACAAAAATCAAAATCGGACAGCCATTGAATAGGCTGCAAAAGCCAAACCGGGCAAAAGGAAAACTTGTTGAAGGGTCTCTGCGATGGCCAGCAGCTTTCAACTGTGCTGCCTGGCTGGCTACTTTCCGTTCATACCGTACTTTCTCAAAAATGCGGCCACCACACTGTCATGCTCACCAGGGCGACAATTGAGGCAGATGCTGTTCCATTCCAAACGGAGCTGCATGAGCACGCCCATGAACTGTTCCGTGATGATCCCCTTCAGGGCCACATCCAACGCTGAGACGAAACGCCCCGTCTGAACAAAGGTCTTCAACGCATCCTCCATCTCCTTGCGATCTTCTTCCGTGAGGTCCTTTTCGTCATAGCTGCAACGTTCAATGGCTTGCCAGGTCTGCTCCTTGTAACGACTAAGGCCTTTGCGGATGTCGTCACTTGCAAAATTGAGACGGGTCCATGTGTTGCGGACTGTTTCGCTGGCCTTGTTGGAACTGGCAAAGAAGTCCTGCACGGCATACTTTCCGTAGAGCTTGGTATCAAGGATCTGCTGGATGAGATCGTTGCTCAGGACCTTGTTTCCGCCCCTCTTGATGTTGCTCTTCACCTGCTGATGCAACAACCTGCCCAAGACAATGTTCACCAAATGAATGTGCGAGCTGTTCTTGCCAACCTTTCCCCAAAAGTCGTCTCGCAACTTGGCTTTTGAGCCACGAGCACCGCCGTGGCCAGTGGTGTGCATCGGGGGCATCACCATATGAGGCGCTGAAGAAGCAACGAGAGAGTGGCGCAAGTGCATGCTTGCAGCAGCCGCACTGGGAGATGCAGGATTAAAGGCCGCGGTCAAGCGGGGCTTCTTGTGGTTCTGAGGGGTATCGCTGCCGTTGCTGTGCTGGGAAGAGGCACCGATGCTGCCGCGTTTCCTGGCGAGTTCAATTGCCGGGGCGAGTCCTGCCGCATCTGGGTCAGGCTTGATAGTTGGAGATGAAGGAGGCGACGTACGGAAAGCGGCAGGGACGGGTGCTGGCATGGGGGCCAAAGAAGGGAAGCCGGCAGAGTGAGCTTGAACTTGCTGAGTCAAGAGACTAGACAAAGGGGGATGCTGCGGCGCATTGAGAGCCGCCGCACGCAGAAAGTAAGGAGTATCAGTACTGGTCCACGTAGGCAAAGTCGTACGGGCGGCAATCTCTCGGTTGAGGAGATCACGCTGAAGGCGCAGCATATCTGGTGGGTATGGAGCTCCCGGAGCACCTGGGGCCATAGCCTGCAAGAACTGCTGTTGCTGATGTTGCGAGGGCGGCTGTCCTGCAGCTTGGGAAGCAGCCTGTTGCTGCTGATGATGATTCTGTTGCAGCTGATGTTGCTGCTGAAGGCGAGCCATCTTCACTGCCTCAGATGCAGAGGCCCCTCCGTTCATTAAGATGGACATGGCAAGCTGCCTATCGAGCTGGTCATTCCCTCCCATTGCTTGGTGGTAAGGGTCCATTCCGAAGAGGAGCTGAAGAGGGTAACAGGTTGAGCTATACCGTAGGAGGTGTGACGAGAGTGTGGAGGGGTATGGAGGCTTTGCTGATGGTTAAAGGAAGTGTGGAAGTTATCAGTCTGCTGGTGGACTTGGTGAAATGAGAGACTGCAGTAAAACAAGGGGAGTTTTGAAAACCGCTGCAGAGGGAGTCAGGATGGTGCTGTGCGTTTTCTTCTTCAATGTGTTTTATGGTCTGCTGAGTTTTGTGTTTTTGGAGGCAAGCTCGCAAACCAACAATCTTACCGCAAAGGCGCAAGGAGCGTGTTATCGTACGGCGTGTTAACACACACACTGATAAAGTAAAGGGATGAAAAGTGAAAAGATCTCAATTGGGTGGGAAAACGTGGTTGCTGGCAATCTACTCTTGAATCACTCTTGTCTATCACCTCAGAGTACGACGTACTGCGTTCTACCTAATTAAGACTGCTGCCCAAGACGAATTACGTCTTCCATCTCCTCAGATCTGAAGAGAAGTTTTAGGGTTCTCTCATAAAACTCCGTTGTTCAGAAGAGAGTTTTTCCATTGTTAGGGTCGACAGTAAACTGGGTCACCACTAGGAACCATGTGGAACATTGAAGGGAAAGTTTTAACCCACTGATTCTTCTCTGGACTTCGAATTCCTTTATCAATTAGTAAAGGGCAAGTAAGCTCTATTGCACTGGAATCTACTGGCGAGATGATTGCGACATTGCGACGTCGAAGTCAAAGTAAGTCTTTTAAACTTACTTGGTAGCGAATGCGGTACTCAATACTCAATACTGGGAGAAGTGCTGCTGGAAGCTCTACATCGTACAGGCACACAGGCACACATTCATCAACCTGTCAGCTCATCCATCATCCATCATCCACTCACCAGCTACCAGGCTACATGTACCAGGTACCAGGTACCGGTACTCCCCAATGAATGCCAACATGCCAACATACGATGTACCAATGCTTCAATGCTACCGTAGTGCTGGTTGGTTTGGCAGGAAAACTGGGGGAGCATTTTTCCGAATTGAAAATATATATTTTCAAAAATTGCTTTTCGTCGGGCCCTAGCTAAAAGATAGTGCCAGCGCCCCACGAAAAAGCGATTTTTGATTTCAACCTTCCCTGGGCTCCAAATCTACTTACTTAGCTCTCTATCTACTCTACTTACTCAATTAGGCCGTAGCTTTTGAACGGACTCCGAAGCCAATCCGGAAGAGCCATAGGGGTACCGGTATACACTCCCCCACAGCTGAAATTTTTCAACATTCCAAATTTCAATTTTTTTTTTTTTAAACTATTTCGAAAAACTTTCCAATGAAAAATTTTGATTTTAATTTTTTACTGGCCAAACCAACCAGACAGACGGTACCCAACTACCAACCTGTACCGGTAACACACAGGACGGAGAATTTGGTAGCTAAAAGGTTGTGGCAATTATCAAGTTAAATAGGGATCATTGTTTTGAACTATACAAGACAAATGATCATACCAAGTTCAAAAACAGCGGTATACCATGACTGTCGAAATGCAATGATGGTCTCTCAGTATACTGTATACTAAGTAACAAGACATTTTGTTGCAAGACTGCTTCTCATTTTTGTTTGAAGTAGGACATTGCTTTAATCCACTATCTGGCAATTGTTCTTAAGTGTAGCGACTGTATCTTTCCAACTTATTGCGAGTGTTTACTCCTACTACCTCAGAAAACAACATTGCTGCGAGGTTTGCCGTTGCTTTCTTGTGAAGACTTACTTCAAAAGTTACTATTATAGCTAGTACCGTAAAGCTTTGTTCCGAAGTTACGCGTACAGAGTCGTATGCCTGGAGCAGTTCTCGTTGGTTGTTGAGATAAATACTCGAGTACCTAACACATAACTGTATGTCGTCTGTCGGTTGCTATCCCTTATGCTAGCTACCAGGTAGTACCGGTACAGTACCGGTAGTACACGTATACGAGCCACTAGCTATTATAGTAGTCCTTGTCAAAAGTAGTCAACGTGACCACCTGCCCATGCAACACCTCCGTTTCCTCCGCTCAAGATTCTTAATCTTCTTCATTGGACGATTGAATCATTGTAGCTAGCTAGACTACAGAGTCTACATACATGAAGTAGTCAGAATTCACTCAAGACTGCACTCGACTCCGATCAGCCAGGTGTCACCCCAGCGACCGGTACCGGTACCTGGTACAGTACGGTACCGTACGACTGCACTTGCTAGCTAGCGTGTGGGACATGTACCAGTACATGTACATGTAGCCGTTGGCAACTCTAGCTTGCTGTCCAGCCACAAACAGACCGAGCTGCTCGGAGGAGTACAATTCAGAGGTCCACGTCCAAGCAAACGCATGTTGATGAGTAGGGTGAAAGAGCATGTCAACCTGCCTACTAGCTAGCTACCGTATGGCTGAGGTACTAGTATCGTCCAGAATGGATGGTGCGTGAGTCATACGGTAGCCCCACTGGCCTCACACACACCAGCCAGCCAGCCCCCACTCCTGCGCCAACACCTCGGCCAGTCCTAGAGCTGCTGCTCTCCGCATCGCCTCATTTAGGGAGGGGTGCAGCTGGCTGCAAGAGTTGCAATCGACCAGGGCAGTACGGTTCTGTACAGCTGGCAATCCCAGCATTGCCTGTTTGTCATCTGAACGGCCACGACCTGGGAGTGCAGGAGCGGAACATGCCCCGATCAACGCAAGAGCTGGACCTGAAGCACCAGCTGCGGACTCATCAAAACTGGTGGAGGTGTACCAGGTAGTGCCAATGCTTGCTTACGTCTATTGGTGCTGGATCAAGAACCACGAGCTAGCTAGCTAGTAAGGCAATTCAGTTCGTGAAATATGAAAGTTGGTTATTCATTCTAATGCAAAGCCTCTCATGATGGCATTCTTGGGAGGTTGAAAGCAGTTTCCTCCGCCTGGGCACATCATGATTGCTCTCTTAGCTACTATGGTATGTAAATTCCGATGTCCATGTTCAAGCACCGACAGTCATCTGTGGAGGTGGAGGCCCCGCAACGTTTGATGGCTGAGACCATCCTGTTGCATCAGAGTCGTCGCTCTGACAAGGTTCCATGCTCGCCTCCGATCCGGCAGTTGGTGATGTGGATCTTGGAGTTGACTCTCCCCTCTCGGATCCCGAGGAATCTTTATCCTTCGGAGTTAGCCATAGGAGCGGACCGTTGGCTGCTGCAGCTTGTCCTTGCTTGAGCTTTTCCATCGTTTCGCGCCCTAGCTTCTTCCAGTCGAATGACATTTGACTACTCGTGCTGCTAACGCTGTTTCTCCGGCTGCGGCTAATGCTGTCGTCAGCATTGTCTTCCGCAACAGTTTCCTTGCCCTCGTCTGCCTGCTGCTGAGTTTCCCCAACGGGTTCCTCTTCCAGCGCCGCCGGGGCCGACGCTGTCGAAGAATCGCCCGAGACTGGGTTTTCGGTATCAGAACATTCTGCCATCTGATCGTTCGAAATCACAGTGACCTTGCTGTTCGGGGAAATCCATTGGGACAACATCGAATGGAGATCTTTTCCCTGACGGGAGTCCTCATTCTGCGTGCAATCAAGCTCCTTTTCTTTCATTTCCTTGGGAGCTTCATCGACATCCTTCTTCGCGGAGTCATAGTCCTTGTCCATCTCCACTGTTGTCTCCTTGTTGGCGGTCGTGGTCTGGCCCTTACTGCTGGGTTTCTGTGTGGTGCCGTTGCCCGTAGTTTTCTTTTCCACGAGCTTCTGCTGCTTGAGCTTGACAATTGCTTCTTCTTTGAGCTTGATTTCCTGCTTGAGCTGCGACACCTTCGCTTTGGTTTCTTCCTCGTTTTGAAAGGTCTTGAGCTTCATGTCTGTGAGCTTCATCTTGGTTTCGACCAACTGATCACTGATCTTGTTGGCGGCAAACGTCAAAGATGCATTCTGCGCCAAAAGCCGCAAAAAGTGCTTTGATTGTTCCGACGCATGAGGGTAGTCCACCAAGACCCGACGGCGTGTCCATTTTCGGCGTCGGATCTTTCTAATGGGGACCAAATGACGCACGACCTTGTTTCCGCTCAAGAATGATGTCTTTTCGAGGGTCAATTTGTCTTCCACCATGCCTGGTTGTTCAAAGCAGTGCAGTTCTGGGTTCTCCTTGAGAAAATCACTTGCATCCATCGCGTAGCTCCACCCATCTCCATCACAGTCTAGAGTTTGCGGGCGGTTGTCCAAACCATCTCCAGCAAACACAATGACACGCTTTTCAATTCGCCATCCGCCAATCCATTGCCAAGTTCCGCCATCGTGGGGAAGAGGAAAACCATTTGCTAGTTGCACGACGCGGCTGATTCCAGCATTGGTAAGGACACATTTTTCGGGAGGAGCCGTGAGAGATGCGCTGGTCCCGGTGCCATTGCCCATGGTCTCGCAGCCCGCCAAGAAAAAGAGCAAACTTCGGTCTCTTCCTGGTTGACGAAGAGATTCGGAGGGTTGAGGGACTTCTTGGACGAAATTTGTCGTGGCTTTGAGGATCGGCAAGGCTTGAAAGAAAGATGGAAGCTGATTCAACTCGGTACACCATTTTTGTTGTTTGATATTGTATACTTGCCATTCCATGATTTCCTCTGTGGAAAAGGCATGTTCTTGCGCCTTGGCTTCCCAAGGGCAAACCTCCATCAAGCGGCAGACGTGTAGAGGCAACGTTGGATTTTGCAGTGGCATTGGCCGTCCCATTTTTGCGGCAGAACGTCGAGCTTCGTTGGCTTGCATTGCTGCCGCAATGGCGGGTCGTTCTTGCGTCATGGCGTTGACAATTTGTCGGTACCCCTCCAATTCCTGCTGCATAGCCGCGTACTGTTTGGGTGGAATGGCCGCCGGTTCTTCTTGTTTGGGAGCAGCCTTGGCCGTGGCTTCTGATTTCGTGGACGATCGCCGACGTGATTTCCGTTCGGTGGGCTTTTCTTGTAGCTGTGATGGCGAAGAGGGCGGATTTTCTTGTAAAGAACGGAGCTTGGCTTCCAACTGGATGCGTCGTTCTCGTTCTTTCTCAAGTTCATCAAAGGCGCCGCGGAGCAATTCTTCTGTTTCGTCTCCATGAAGGCCTTTGTCGGCAGTGGAAGGAGGAGAGAGAGCATCCAATTTTAGCATTGCCGTGGAAGCGGCCTTTTTGACAACTTCGACCATGGTCTGAGATTTTTGGGGTGAACCTTGGCTGAGGATACAACTCGCTGATTTGATTCTGACGAGAGATCACAAAATGGAACCGCTCGAGGAGCCCCCGCAATAAAGTAGCTGAAACGATCAAACTGAATTGCCTCAACAAGGTGACTGGATGCTGGATGCTCTTTGACAGAATAGAACAAAGATAGCTGTTGTACGGAAACGCGGTACGATGATTGTGATCTTCAACAAGAGAGATGTGAAAGGAGGAAAACGTCAAAGGGAAATCACCCTCGAATTCTTGGCCGGGCCGGCTCAACCTTGAAACCTCCACCAATCAGATCTCCAAATCATTCCCCCTCCACTCGTGCTTTCAGAGGGATGCAACGGTTTGTCTGCCCGAGCTGTCGGAATCCCTCTACTCTAGAGTACGACTGTACTACTGGACCCTGTCAAACTCATCATTGCAAACCAAACCATCCTATTTGTAAGGCTGCAGACAGGGAGAGTCTAGCTAAATTGAAGCCTCTACAACTCCTAGTAGCTAGCTAGTAGCAACTGCAGACCATGGTGGATGCCAATACCACAACTGCTGCCTGCGGCACAAAAATCTAATATGCTCTGTCACGTTCGTCGGCACCGGGGCAACCCAACGAAGAAATGTCAATATCCGACTAGCTAGGCATACACTTTGACGACATCAAAAGACGCCGGAGGACCAAAAGACAGAAGTCAGATTCCTACATCCAACACTGCAAGAACCACGCACGTTCTCCAAAACTTCGAAGCCGAAGACATCATTTGCGACATTCAAAGGAACAGCATCAAAGTTAGAATCATATGGCAAGGCAAGCCACTCAGCACTGCCAAGACCTTTGGGACATGACTCTGCAGCCTATGCAATAGGGAGCGACTGGAAATGCTGAACAATCCGAGAATCACCAGAGAAGCTAATCAACTCCTGCAACAAAACTACTTGAGCCCCCTGCTGACACATATGAGCTAGCTAGAATAGTGCATTGTATATCAGGTCAAGCTTCGTTTCAATGGGAGTAGAATAGCTGTTGCTAACTTTAGAAGAGAAAGGTGGATGTTTCCGTCACTTTTCCCCCCCTGATGGTCCCTAAAACGGCACCAGATTATTATTTTAGCTCCCTTTACTCCCTTACTTGCACCCCTCTTTCAAGGTGTCAAAGCTGTTAAGTAGCTCTTTTCCGATTTGGTACCAGTTGCTCTACTACATCGTACGGTACTCCGTGTGTGCATCTAGTCTACCAGTACTTACATTACTGGTGGCAAACAAAAAAATGATGGTTGCAGAAGGTTGACATCAAATCATCCAGGAGGGTGTCAGCAATTATTGGTACCACAAGGCAGCAGCATTGGCACGGACCGTGGTTGGTGGTGCGTTGGCTACCGATACGGTTTGTTTGGGCTGTTGCTATGAATTTGGATGTGGCCAATTCTGAGTGGATCCTCGGCTGTCAAAAATGATAGACCGACTTGACGGCTGATGGCTTGTTTCTCGTTTTCAGTTGGCTTCGCCGTTGTGGTCACATCTTTCTCAAATCTGCCTGACATCAACTTCCAAGTGAGTTGAAGCGGGCCAAAGCTACCGCAGCTAGTTTTAGCCCGCAGATACATCGTATCTATCTTCCCTTTCAAGCTCTGGAAGGAACATAGCGATTAGGTGACGAGTATTGATACTTCTCGGTTGGGATCCATGTTCTTCGTGACCTGGCTGCTCAAGGATCAGGGCCAGCCATCATTCCCTGGAAGGAGGGCTAATCATCCTGGTGATGGCATTGGTGCAGTCTTGGGCCACACGTGGAACCAGGTACACTCTTTAGCAAGCTTCTTGCTTGGTTGTTTATGGGGTTTCTCCAGCCCTTGGATCCAAAGGCTGAAGCGGCCCCTGACACGATGCAATTCAGAACAGGTTTACTCTTGCTGAGTCGATGTTCCAATTCTGAAAAGGTACCGGGCCAGCAGCATGCTATGGTTGCAACTGACTCGAGTATATTAGATCTGGAGCCAGTCGGAAGAAAGCATGAGTCTGCAAGGTATGTCTCGTTGCATGGGGATCCAGCATACAAGCTCTAATCTATCCATCGCAAAATCCTGGGCCACACCGGATCGGCACAGCTGAAAATTTTGCTATTATGCTTTGCTATTCAAATACAAACCAAACGGAACGCTCTGATAACTATATGGCATATGTGTGAGCTTTCATTCCAATGACACGAGTCAGGGTATAACAACTAAACTTTTGCGATTGACACATTTGGCAAAGAATGACGAGCCCTGCGTTGGTCCTGTCTCCGGGTTGGAATAGACCGGATTTGTTTGTTCACCCCAATTTTGGCCTACCGGTATATGATCGCTGGTAAGGAGGTCATCACGATTGGGTGGGTGGAAATGCGATGACCACCATGGCACCGGCCGTGCGGATCTATGAATAGGAGCTGCGTGAGTAGAAATAATGTCTTCTTGCTTTAACTTAGCTGTTACGGTGAATCTTATGGAATGATATGGCTTGTATCTTATGCAATGATATGGCTTGTACGGAACTCTATAGGAGGTAATAGCGGTTGATACCTGCGAGCAGTCAACCCAAGAAGCGGATTACTTTGGCTCCGGGGGCTAGAGGATGATGAAAAGAGGAGGTCTGGTTGAGGAAGGAAGGGAGAGTGGCCGCGTGAACATTCAATCTTTTCGTATGGTTAATTGTCGTCGCACTAGTGGCTTTTCTGGTGATGGTGATGACGATGCAGTCTTTCGGGGGCCAACGGAGCTAGAGGCTTTGGAAGAGGATCGCTCCAGAAGGACTTGAGCCGGCAAAAGCGAGCAAGGTGTCCCGCAGGCCTTTACTAGATAGCCTGATTTCTCCTTGAGTGGCTTGATGGATACAGTCATTCCCAATATAGAATTGCATCCATTGTTGACAGTCTCTTGAATGATTTCTTTCATGACTTGGTCCACCATGGATTCCTTCAGCTGCTTATTGTTCTCCTGAAACTCCGCGTGGATGGCAATCACTGCTCCCGCGCGGACAAGCTTCTTCCCGTCGGGTACTTTGGCCTCGGTGGACGCAACGACCGTATCAGTAGCGCAGCCCAACATTTTTTCCACGGGTGGTTTTTCTGAGGGAGGCGTTGAAGAGGAAGATAGCGTAGATTCGGTCGTGGTAGTGGAAGCCGTTGCTTGTGAGGACTGCTTGTGGCGGACAATGCCCTTGACGTTCTTCTTTGTATCTTGTCTCTGGATTTTTGTTGTGGGTGTTGTGATCAGGATTCTCGTCAAGACACCGTTGAGCTTGATCGTCATGGTCTCTCCAGGTTCCATGCTTTGAGGGACATTGACACGGAAACGTTTGAGTTTCGATGGTACAGGCACGGCCAAAACCGACAGTGCTGCTTTCTCTTCATTCTTGCAGAGGACCGCCTCCACGATGGGATCCTTTGCTTGCTGATGCGTCACCTCGATGGCCTCCGCAGGAAAGATTTCCTTTGCTTGCGCCACGACAGGAGCAATTGGTTTTGTCATTTTGCGGGGCTCGGAAGCCGAAGTGTGCTGATTAGCCTTGCGTTGCCTGGTGTCTTGCTGTTGGCTTGGTTGGCTGTGGTTCTTTCTTGGTGTTTGGACGGTCTTTGAGCTCTGTGATCCCATGGTTGCTTTCCTGGTGCTTTACCGGTTGCTTTCCTGCTTGTGCTAAAACTGTTTGTCTGTTTGGTGGTTGCCTTGTGGTTCAGTCGTTGGTTTCTCACGAGTTTGTGATGGGGAAGTTGCATGGTTTCGCTTCGCGCAGTCTTGGTTTGGCGGGAGTTGAAAAATTGGTCCCGCGGCAAGCCCGGCTCGGCCAAAGTTTTAAAGCCAGCGGAAGCTGCCATAATTCGTTTAGGAACCCCAGAAGACAAGCTTTTACAGCAGCGCACAGCATCGCACAGCATCGCAGCGATGCCGCTGACACTCAAATCAACTACTAGTACTCTGACTGCTTTCAAGCATGACCATGTTCTCACCACTAGTATGGGATGATGTCCCAATGACAGCCCTCGCTACAACCCTGCTCTGCATTCTACCTGTATCTATGTGGCTCTTTGCCAAGTTCGATGTCTGGAAGCGAAACCAATTCCGACATCCTCAAGCTCCTCCCTTTGCTGCCTACTCCATTCCCTTCTTGGGAAATGCAATGGAATTTGGGACAGATATGACAGGCTTCATTGAACGCCATCATCATATGGGTCCTTTGTTCTCAGCCCTGATAAATGGCAAGATCATGCACATTGTGACTGATCCAGCCATTATCCCTCTGATCTATCGGACACGACAATTCACCTTTCGACCAACCTTGGCCGAGTTTGTGGGGATTGGATTTGGGACCTCAAACGACGCTTTGGAAAAGGTCTTTATTGGCGAGAAAAATCAATTTCAAGAGTTCAAGACTTTGCTTGTCAAGCAACTAACAACTTCAGTAGAGCTGGATCAGATCACGAATGATGCTCAAATTATACTGAGAGATAAGATCCAACAATATCTTCTACCTAGTAGTGGCCAAGCCAAGACTGTTGATTTGATGGCGTTTGTCTCAGACTTGATTTTTCGTGCTTCGGTGGCAGCTGTCATCTCCAACTCTGCAGAGCTAGGCGAAGTGGACTGTCTGAAGAACCTGGAAATATTTGACAGTATGTGCCCTCTTGTCTTTGCGGGCATTCCGATGAAGTATATACCGCCAGGATGCAAAGCCAGAGAGGCGCTGTTCGAGAAGCTGCGTGCCTCCACAACAATACACAAATCTCGTCTGCTAACCGCTCAGGAGCAGTTCATGAAATCCCTCAATGGTAGCCAGGAAGACGTTCAGAGGGTCCAGCTTTTCTTGCTTTGGGCATCGGTAGCCAACTCCATGCCAGCCGTCTTCTGGACTCTCTACTACTTGCTGTCGCATGACGGTGCGTGGGACGCCATTCGAGGAGAGGTGAAGGCGATACAAGCCAAGAAACAGGATCCCCAGGGTCCTTTCACCAGTGCCGATCTGAATGACATGGTCAAAATGCAATCTGCCTTTACAGAGAGTCTTCGACTCGCTTCCTCCCTCCGAGTGCTGCGAGATGTCACGGAAGACTTTGAGTTTGACATCAAACTGGAGAGTGCTGCCACCACTAAATCAAGGTTTCCCTCCAAGTATTTCTTGCGCAAAGGATCCATCGTGGTGGGCTTCACACCACAGCTTCACATGGATTCCGAGATCTTTGAAGCACCCACAGAGTTTCGGTGGGACCGCTTTTTGACTTCTTCAACAGGGGAACCTGCCAAGTTCTACAGGGCTGGAAAGCTAGTCAACGATCCCATGAGAGCCTTTGGAGGTGGAGCACATCTTTGTCCAGGGCGCAAGTTCATTGCCAACGAAGTCAAGGCGCTGATTGCAACCTTGGCGACCAGCTGCGAGATAGAGCTGGTGAATCCAGACAAAAAGGCAGAATTCGACATGTGGCGACAAGGAGCAGGCATCCCGCAGCCCAAGGAGCCTGTGCTAATTCGACTACTAAGGTCGTCCGATGCGGGCTAGCTAGGGGATGGCACGATGCCGCTAGCTAGCACGGATGCCAAAGGCAAGTTCAGAATGCTCGAGACCCATTTGGCGTGTTGGGTTTGGGAGGAGGATGGGGGGACGAAACAACAACTACATGTAGTGGGTGGTGGGTGGAAGATTTCAAGAGCTCGTCAAACACTACCACACCTGCTAAGACAGAGGAACTTCCAATGTTGAACGTCACACGGGAGTGGAGCTACCTCGGTGCCGACCAACAATGCGAGCCTGGGCTCTCGGTTGAACTGATTTGTACTCGTCCAGCGTACTCGTACTGGTACTGGTATGGCCTTGTGGGTCGTGAAAAGATGAACGAAATTTGCGCTTTCCCTTATTCCCTGGGTCGTCGTTTTTTGCCCGTAGCCAGCAACCAGGCAGTCCTTTTAGTACCGGTAGTACATTGAATACTTTGCTCTCGTGTGGCTTGCCTCTCACTCCTCCTCTCCCTCCTTCCCCATACCAGTGGCTCAACAAGATTTGGCCATTGATACTTGAAGATATGAAAACTTCTTGCACACCTCATCCTTTCTGTAAAGGACCGAGTAGAGTCATTTCTTTGAAGACCAAAGCAGGCCTCTGGATAGGTACCCCAGCTTTTCGATTGAAGGGCAAAAACTACGGCGACTTCTCCCCCATTGAGGAACCACAGCTGAGGGGGTGTATCATCAAGACCTGTTATGGTGTCTGATGGTCAAGAGCTAATCGCAGGCCTTGTTTTGTGAGATTGGAAAGGAGATAACGAGACGTACCGTAAACGAAACTTCGTTGTACTACATCTAGTAGTCTATGGTTAACAATGTCATCATCTCTTTGTTCTTGCTGAAATCCATGCATCGGTACTGAGAGGATACTGGTATGTCTAACCCTGCTTTGCTACCTCGCTACCTCAAGAACCAAAGTCATTTCCAGCCTGGAGTCTGGAGTGAGTCGAGTCTCGCCCCACCTTTAGAAGTGGAACTGTCTTCTCTCGACAAGCTACTATGGCTTGAAGCCAGTACTCTGGAACTAGAGCACCTACTAGCCTAGAAGATATCGGTACTCTTTTTTTAAGACTAGAGTAGCTAGCTAGCAGAGCCTGGACGGAAGATAAGTTGAACCGAAGCCGTACCCACGGAAGCTATGAATAACCCTGCTTTGCTACCTCGGGATCCAAAGACGTTGACAGCCTGGAGTCTGGAGTCTCGCCCGAGCCACCTAAGCGGAAATGGCAGTGATAGCTATCACTCTGTCTTCTCTCGACAAGCTGCTACCTGGTAAGCTAGAAGCTCATACTCTAGAGTACCTAGCCTTGTAGATATTTGTACTCTTTCAAGACTAGAGTAGCTACAATGTAGCAGAGCCTGGCGCCGAAGATAAGTTGAAGCGAAGCCGTGCGCTGTACCCACGGCAGCCGCCACCAAATATGTTGAAGCGAAGCCGTTTAAATAAAACATTCATCTGTGACTGGGAAGGGGGCAACGTAATGGAGGGTCGGGTATTACTGAGTAATTAATAGGAATGATGATCACATGGCTGTACCGGAAAAGCGGAGACTTTGGTAATAATCCATAATGCCATTATGTGGCAATGCTGCAGCTGTGGGGAGTAGATCATCAAGACCTGTTATGGTGTGCAATGGTCAAAAGGAGAGTCACCAGCTAAACTATTTACTGGTACCGGTACGTACGTATTGTATCTTAGCTTGACTAGCTACCAGTATTTTAAAATAGCAAGCAAGCAGTTTGACACCAAAGATAAGACTTAAGTTGAAGAAGCCGTTTAATAAACTCACCTGTGACTGGGAGGCAATGAGCGAATGGTACTCGTATCAGCGAATGGTACTGGTACGATGTACGATGGATCGCACTAGTCTAGTACCGCACTGATCATACTATTACACTTACGCCAGCTGGTCCGCTGGTACTAGGTAGTACATAGTACACTCTAAAAGCTCTCTGAGGTGGTTCGCTGGTCCAGCTGCTGGGTCAATCGGCTGTTAAACACATGTATCCAGTAATTTCAAAGCTTAGGTGATGTGGTGTCAAAGCAGTATCGAAAGGAGCGAATGAATTGGTAGGAAGGCAAATGAATCCCAATGAGAAGTGGATCCGAGAGAACGAACACAGATGCCGCATCATCTACTCCGAATGCAAGAAAAATTCAAAGATGGCTGAAACTAAATCGCGGGATTAGCTCCTTGGGGAACCAAGAGATAGATCTGTCATTGTCTTTAAATCATTTGAAGGTAGCCAAGCAGACATTCTTGGTCCAATCATGAATCAGATCCTTTAAGTAGAAACAAAAACAGACTTAATAATTGCTCAGGCGAGACACAATGAACGGCTATCTGTGCCAAACAGTTCCCTTTGAGATATATTGTACCTTCTCTTCTATATGAATGAGTGACGGATTCTTTCCAACCAATCTTGCTTTTGAAGCATCTAAATGCTTCTAAAGAAAGCCGTTGGCACGATCATCGGCACCATAATCACCTGGCATCTGGCAAAGGCCTGCATCCGACCAATAATCAATACGTGTACTCCTTAACAGTACTCCGTACTTCAGCTACTTCTCAATTCTCAAGACTTCCTGGCTTACATGTACTCACTTCGTCGCCTGCGCTATTTGCAATCTGCCGGCATCGCATCGTCGCACTTGCACTTCCCCAACGTTCACCCGAGCAACAAAAGAGAAAACCAGCGAGGAAATCTGAAGGCACAAGAAACATTCATGAATCAAAATCTCATAATTTTCACTTTTGCTCCAACAGCACAACCTCCTCAGCAACACCTTCTTCCGCTAACCCACCTCCACCTCCACCACAACCATGAGCTACACAATGCCCAGCCACTCCTATGCCGCCAGCGACCTTGCTGAAAAGGATCCCCTTGACAGTGTTACCACCATGACCGCCGATTTGGATGACGATGAGTGGAACCTGGATATCTCCGACCTCCTGAACGACGACCGAGTCCGCACTCCCTTTGGCCGCTCTACCTCCTTTGACCAAGAAAGACGCATCGATGTTCTCATTGAAGGCGAAGGCTCCACCAGCGGCTCCACCACCAAGTCAAGGCGAAAGGCTCCCAGACGGTCCGTCTCCTTTGGCAAGGTAGAAGTGCGTGCGTTTGAACGCATCTTGGCCTCCAATCCTCCTACTTGCACGCATGGCGTTTCCTTGGGCCTTGGATGGAACTACATTGAGAAAAAGGCTGTCGACGTTGACAAGTTCGAAAGCAAGGGCAAGATCTTCCCATGGGGCGGCAGCAAACGCAGCAACAAGGAGTTGCTCATGTCCCCTGAAAAGCGAGAAAAGACAGCCAAGAAGCTGGGATTCACTCCAAGCGAAATTCAGGCCAATGCCAAGCTCATGGACAAGGTCAACAGACAGCGAAAAAAGACTGTCAACGCCTTCTTGGAAGAACAGTACGAAGAAATGTTCATTAAGGAAAGAGCCCGACAAGCAGCCCAGATGGGCGTGATCTCATCATAGACTCACTCACTCTCTGGGGGATGCCGGTTGATCAAGCTACCTACTAGATGTACAATATAAATTTTAGAAAACTTCCTTCATAACAATCGTCTCTCCCTCTCTGTTAGCTACGGTAGCTGCAATGGATACTAGTATGGTTAGTTCAACTAACAACAACAAACAAGACGTACATGTACCTTCTAAAGCATGTTTCTTACTGTATTAACAAACGCCTCTTGGGTCGTGTTGGTAGTATCGTACAGTCCCTGAAGGGAAGGGCTCGTTGGCTGCGCAGTCGCTGTCGACCTTGCTTTCCAACGCTTCACCTCTTGAGGAAGACACAACTGATGTGCAGCAGCCAGCAGGCTGAACAAGGTCAATCGTCGGAAACAGTTCCAAAGATGCTTTCCGTTCGTGCATGTTTGTTGTACAATAGCTTGCACAATTTACTTTTTTCAGCAGTCAAAATCTTTGTTCAACAGAATGTCTCGCGCTTTTACATGTATTACGTTGTTTCTATTCAATGTGCGTGCAATAGTCGTGAGAAGAGAGCAAGATACGGTAGGTCTTGGCACCAGCCAATAGCCCCCCCGCCCCTACAAGAGACATGCCCACACGAGGACATGTAGACTAGTCATACTTCCAGGCCACTTGCCCCGATAGAAGATACTAGTACCAGGTAGCATAAACTAACTGTTCTCGGTTCAAAACCCCCAAGCAGTCTAGCTAGATAGATCTAGCTAGCGAAGTAGGGCTCGCCGCGCTACGCTGTGGGCTGTGGTTCTGCCAGAAACATCTCGGTGGTTGGGGGCGAGCCTTCGCGTGGTTCGGTAGCTGGTGAGCCTTCCTGGGGAACGAGTCATAGCTAATATTGGCTTAGGGCAGCACTTCAGTACTTCAACAGGAATGGCAATATGGCAATATCGAGGCAGTGGAGGCGCAGGCAAGTCTTACTTACTTGGGTATTGGGTAGACCCAGTAGCTAGATCTAGGTCTGTCCTCTTGACGAAACTCGCTACGAACGGTGCCCTCTCTGCCTTAGCACATGTCTACAGTCTACAATATGTATTGCGATTCGATTCCCATTGCCCGGGGGAAGGAACGACGAAGATGGCTTTGGTTCCTCTGGTACCTGGTACTGCGACCGATCAAGACCGGATAAATATGAAATATGGTTGGGCCTCCATGCTTGCCACCGCTTCACCTCGGAGGCAGGAGGCACAACTAACTGATGTACAAGTTCTTAGAGCTAGCTACCGGTAGCTAGTCAGCCTCTATTCAGATAAAGGCTTTGTTGTCGCTCCTGAAACCGCGCCGATGATGATTTCCGTTCGTGCACTTAGCATGAGCTGGCTTGGTACAAGCAACACTGAAAAATGCCGAAAAGTGTGCGAAGGACCCTGGCATCTATCTCTAGAGCTACGACTGTACCATTGGTCCCTTCGACCTCCGCGTTGCGCTATGGTGGATGGCCTGCACAATCAATGGCAAGAACCGCGATCTCACGTTCCGCTCATGCTGTGCCGGTAGGAGTCGCAAGGCTCCTGTAATAGAGCCATCACCAGTGCGCTGACGCCACAGTGACTGAACTAAGTAAGTGTACTCACAATCTGCCAAATCCCTAAAACACAGGCTTTGCTTACTCTGTGGTAACTTTTCGGTTGTTTGATTTTTTCATCCCCAATGGGAATCGAATCATCAGTGCTTGGGATACTGTGGTACTTGTGAAATGCTGGATTGCATCAGCAGGCTCTGTAGATTTCGTTGCAGGACTTGATTAGCTTCTCTGGTGATTCTCTGGATCGTTTCAGTATTCCGAGTCGCTCCCTATGCAATAGGCTGGAGTGTGGTGCCCGATGGTCTTGGCAGCGCTGATTTGGTTGCCTTGCCATATGGTAGGATGTTCACTTTGATGCTGTTCCTTTCAAGGTCTTTCTTCTTTGGGTTCGAAGTTTTGGAAAACATGGCTAAACTGTCCGTGTAGGTTACCGTATTAATAAGTTCGCACACACGTGCATGTATGAACGTCTTCCATTCCAGTGTTGATATGTTTGTGGCTACAGTAGGGTAGCATTGTCCTGCAGCATTGCTCCTTCTCTGTTCCTGGGTGCACCTTCTAGGCATTTGCCATTCTTTCCTGGTCTGCAAATGCAATCGGTTTTGGATTTTGGAAGTCCTCATTCAAAGAGATGACATCTTTGGTAGCTAGACGTCTTCTTCAAAGTACCATGCATATGAAATCAAGTTCAGAGTTCAGGACATCCGTGTTTGACATTTGACAGCACAACAATTGTTTGGATGAAGTCGTTGACTCCTACTCTAGTTGAGAGAGCTAGCTAGCTAGTAGGAGTACTGGTACATGTAGCAGCGTCAAAACAACAACCGTTGCCTGGACCGACATGTCATCACGCGAAACACGTTGGAGAAGCCAGGAACTCTTCAGAGCTTCAGAGGTATCGTACCGTACTGGTATGGGGCACAACTCTACAGCTGGTACGATACTGGTACCTTGGTACCGTCGGTGGCTCGTCAATTACTGTACTAGTAATTCATTCCGGTTTCAGGCTTTCAGCATTTATCTTGCGGGTTCGTTGGTGGGATCATAGGTCTTAGTGCGTCGCCAGACTCGTTTGTGGGATCATAGGTCTTAGTGCGTCGTCATTGTGACTGAAGCAAAGCAATCTTGCGTAAGCACTCTTTGACATAGTAGACACCTGACATAATTCTGTTCCGAAAAGACCTTCTGTGATCCAAGTCTTCAGAAGTCTTTTCTCTCTAAATCTTGCATTACTGTAACCAGAACAGCCAGGAACCAGGAAGGAGCCTTTCTGTTCTTAGTTAGATTCAGATGTTCTTCCTATCATAAACTAAGACCAAGTCCTTATCATTGAGCAGCTCGTTGAGCATTGAGCTGAGGAGCGTTAGCTGGAGCGTATTAGTACCAGTACAGCTGTTCGGTACCGGTATCGAACCAAGCATGATCCAGAACTACACAGTGCTGAATAGTTCTCAAGTTCTTTAATAATCTGAAGCTCAAATAGAGGGTTCGTTCCAGGGTTCGCTAACCAGTTCTTTCGGTTACCGGTTATTTGACATTTGGTTACCGGTTGTTCGATTTGGTTACGTAACCGGTAACCGGCAACCGGGACCTCGCGATAACCGGTTACTCAACC